ACTTATTTGCTCAATACCTCTGTGAGTAACCAATCTTCCAGCCACACAGGCCACACAGGCCATCTCCTCCCCTTTTACTATGGCCTTTGCACACCTGGTGCCCCTCAGATAGAGTCGCCTCCTTCCTCTCCATTCACCTCAGCCAGTCCCAGACTAAGCAAGGCCTTCCCCCAACCCTCTGAGTTTAATTTTTAACAACACTTTTTTCTGGCAATAAGAGTAAAACAGGTAATTCTCTGGCAGTCCAGTGGTTAGGATTCGTCACTTTCACTGCGGGGGGCCTGGGTTCGATCCCCGGTTGGGGAAGTAAGATCCTGCAAGCTGTGTGGCTAAAAAAAAAAAAGAGAGAGAGAGAGTAAAACAAATGGCCAATACACAAGAAAAAATATTCAATTTAAGTAATTAAATAAAAATGCAAATTAAATACATAAGAAAGCTCAGAAATGCAAAAAAATATAAAGAGTAATTCCATATTTTCACTTTATAACTAGGCAATTGTAGCTAAGAAATAACTGTTTTAAGGTCATAAAACTAGTAGCTAACAGATAGGATTTGGCTCTGAGTCTACTGCCTCAATGCTGAGGGAGCATCTTCTATGTGATGCGTGCTTTTGTATAGTTTTATTTAATATTTTCACACCAACCCTGTGGTGGAGTTCATGTTAATCCCATTTATTCAAGGAAACTTAGACTTGGGGCCATTAAGTAAACTTGCTTCAGGTCGCACAAATGGCATGTGAATACAGCAACATCAAGATATGGTCACTCTGGAATGGATAAAGAAGATATGGTACATATATACAATGGAATATTACTCAGCCCTAAAAAGGAACGAAATTGGGTCATTTGTAGAGACGTGGATGGATCTAGAGACTGTCATACAGAGTGAAGTAAGTCAGAAAGAGAAAAACAAATATCGCATATATGTGTAATCTAGAAAAATGGTGAACCAGTTTGCAGGGCAGAAATAGAGACACAGATGTAGAGAACAAACGTATGGACACCAAGGGGGGAAAGTGGCGGGGCGGTGTTGGTGTTGGTGTGATGAATTGGGAGACTGGGATTGACATGCACACACTGATGTGTATAAAATGGATAACTAATAACCTGATGTATAAAAAAATAAAAGGTAGGGTCACTTTGACCAGTCAACTCACCCAAAACCTACACTTTACTTCTTAGCTTTTTAATTGATTTCTCTGTCCTTTGGCCCAACTCCAAAAGTGTGTTTTACCACTTCCAGATATACCTAAATATACCTAAAATAGATCTTTTGCCTCAAGTAATATGAAAGATCTACTTTAAGGCAGGCCCTCCTCTGTGATAGTGTGGCTTCAGAGGACCCAGGGAAGTTCTTAAATATCTCAGTCATTAGTATCTGAAGTGCCATCAGGGAACTATCAAGATTTTCCATCCACAGTTAGAGATGAGGTTTAAAATGTAGCACCCCTCTTTTCCCTGTATGACTGATATCTGATCCTTTCTTAAGAATACGTTTCCATTTGAGAGGAGTAAGAAGCTAAGTACTTAGAGAAGATACTCCTGAGGAAGAAGGAGGAGGAGAGGAAGGGCTGTAGTGTGGCGCTGGCCCAGGGATCGACCAGTGGAACAATAATCCAGATACAAACCCATGCATATATGTAACATTTGTATATAACACAGCAGTCATACAGATTTGTGGGGAAACAATGGACTGTTGAATAAATGGTTCTGGGGTAGTGGGATGTCTAAAAGAAAAAAACAATACCTACTTGGCACCATAAACAGAAAAATAAGTTCTAGGTGGATTAAAGGTTTTAAAGTAAAATGGACTTTTGGAAGAATATGTAGGTGAAGGTCTTTATGACCTTGTATAGGGAATATTTCTTAAACTAGACACAAAAAGATAACCAAAAAGGAACAGATTGATAAATTTGACCCCATTTAAAAAAATGGTAAAAAGACAAGCTCCAAGATGGAAGGGGTTTGTATTTTATATTATCAACAAAGAAACATAAAGAGTCACAAATCAATTTGTAAAAAAAGAATAGCCCAATAGAAAAATGGACAAAAGATGTAAATAGGCATTTCACAATAAGGAAAAATAATTGCAAATAAAAATGAAAAGACCTCCACCAAGAAATGCAAATTAAAATCCACAGTGGGATGCTATTTCACACCTATATTGGCAACCATTTGAAAATTTGACAACAAGAATTGGTGAGAATCTGGATCAAAAAGGAACTCACACACCGCTATTTTGCCATTGTAAATTAGAATCACCACATCAGAAAATTGTCTGATATTACCTTGCGGAGTTGACACACATGCCCAAATGTTCAGGATCAGCAGAGAATGCGATACAACCTCTGTGAAGACAAGTCACACCCACACACACACACACACACATGCACAAACACATACCATTTGCATAAATGATACCATTTATATAAAGTTTAAAAATATGAAAAGGTAAATATGTTGTTTTGGATACATGCAGTGGTATGTGGAGCTGGCTGTGCCAACTTGGGAGAAATTGGCAAATGCTACAAATCAGAGCTATTTTTTTCCTTCTGGTGAGCCTGTTAAACATTTAGCAGTACACCATCAGATACATGCGTAGTAGTAAAATAATAAAGAAACGCAAGAGAATAATAAACAGGGAGGGGCACACAGGGGCAGCAGTCCTTCAATAACAAATGTTCTAATGCTGCTCTTTCTTGCATGTAAACTATTTCATAAGAAAAAAAAGAATGAGTAGGAGTTAGCTGGGCCAAGCAAGGGTTGGTGGTGGGTTTGGTGGGAAGGGTCTGGGTAGAGGTGGCAGCATAGGTGAATGGGAGAGAATGGTTAGCTGGGCATCTGCAAGTGCTGTAGTGAATTCTGACGAGCGGGTGAAGTGTGAGAAGTGAGAGCAGACAGGAGGGAGCAGATCACTGAGCACCTGTGTGCCAGGATAAACGGCTTGCATTAACTCTGGGCAGTGTTATGGAGCCCAAGCTCGCTCTGCTCACCACATGACAGGCCAATAAATGGGGAGACCAGTTGTTGGGGCAGGAATAACGACTTTAATTGGAAAGCCAGCAGACCGAGAAGATGGCAGACTAGTGTCTCAAAAAACCGTCTTCCTCAGTACAAATTTGGGCTCCTTTCACACAGAGGAAGGGGAGAGTGGGGGCCCACTGCGATGCCTACCAATGGTTGAGCGGGACTGCTATTGGTCGCGCCTGCCCTGCCCTTATTACAAGTGGAGTGAGGTCTCGGCAGGGTAGAGACAAGGTGGCAGGACAGTGAGGAAGTCGTGGTGACCTTGCTGAAAGATGAAAGCCCAAGCAAGGCCATAGCTAGGAGGAGGATGAGCAGAGGAGGAGCTCGAGAGACGTCTAGGAGGTAAAATGGTCTGAGCTTGGTGACTGCGTGCAGGATGTGAGTGGGAAACCACACTGCTGCCCTCAAGGAGGTGGAGTGGAACTCCCCACTCTTTAAGGGTGGACTGTGAAATGACTTCCTTCGAAAGAGTACAATCCAGAAATGGGGAAATTAAAGTAACTTTACAGGGGAGAAATCTGACAAACACTACCTCAGCAGGTGAGCAAGGTCAGCTTTGACAGTGATAAGTCATGGTGATGGTACCTTTGACCTGATGGCATGAGGATGACACTTTACCTCTGTGGTCTTCCTTCCAAAGCACCCCAACCCCAGTCTAAATCATAAGAAAAACATCAAACAAATCCCAACTGAGAGACAGTCTGCAAAATACCTGACCAGTACTCCTTAAACTGTCAAAGTCATCAAAAACATGGAAAGTTTGAGAAACAGCTGTAGCCAAGAGGAGCCTCAGGAGACATGACAACTAAGTTTATTTGTATTTATTTATTTTTTTGGCTGCGCCATGCGGCATGTGGGGTCTTAGTTCCCTGACCAGGGATCAAACCCACACCCTCTGCTTTGGGAGTGTGGAGTCTTAACCACTGGACGGCCAGGGAAATCTCCACAACTAAGTTTAATGTGATATCCTGGATCAGATCCTGGAAGAGGAAAAAGCAAAACAACACAAAACAAAAAACGGCATTAGGGGCTTCCCTGGTGGCGCGGTGGTTAAGAATCTGCCTGCCAATGCAGGGGACACGAGCTTGCAAGGGACACGGGTTCGAGCCCTGGTCCGGGAAGGTCCCACATACCGCAGAGCATCTAAGCCCATGCGCCACTACTACTGAGGCCTGCGTGCCATACCTGAAGCCCGCACACCTAGAGCCCATGCTGCACAACAAGAGAAGCCACCTCAATGAGAAGCCCACGCACCGCAGCGAAGGGTAGCTCCCCCTTGCTCGCTACAACTAGAGAAAGCCTACGTGCAGCAGCAAAGGCCCAACACAGCCAAAAATAAGTAAATTATTTAAAAAACCAAAACAAACAAAAGGCATTAGGGTAAAAACTAGGAAATCTGAATAAAGGATGGAGTTATGTTATAAATGAGGTACCGATATTGGTTATTATTTGTGATAAACGTACCATACTCATGTAACGTGTTAATGACAGGGGAAACCTGGTGTGGGGCATATGAGAGCTCTACTATCTTCACACCTTTTCTGAAAATCTAAAAGCATTCTAAAATAAAGATTTATTTTTTAAAAATAGCCAAATCTATTTGTCTGAAAACTTAATTAAAACCAATTGCTACTCTCCTTAAAAACTGTTTTCTTGGGCTTCCCTGGTGGTGCAGTGGTTGAGAGTCCGCCTGCCGATGCAGGGGACACAGGTTCGTGCCCCGGTCCGGGAAGATCCCACATGCTGCGGAGCGGCTGGGCCCGTGAGCCATGGCCACTGAGCCTGCGTGTCCGGAGCCTGTGCTCCGCAATGGGAGAGGCCGCAACAGTGAGAGGCCCGCGCACCGCAAAAACAAACAAACAAACAAAAAAACTGTTTTCTTTTTTAAATTTTACTTATTTTTTCTGAATTTTATTTTATTTTTTTATACAGCAGGTTCTTATTATCTATTTTATGCATATTAGTGTGTGTATGTCAATCCCCATCTCCCAATTCATCCCACCACCACCACCCCGCCACTTTCCCCCCTTGGTGTACATACGAAAAACTCTGTTTTCTGAGTTGAGTGATCCTTAGGCTCACAGAATCAGTCCCGGTTTTCTCAATCCCTCTTCTACGGGCACAGCTGAGAAGGCGGTTTGTTTAGGCAGGAAGGATTACAACTCCCAGAGTGCCCCTGTGCGGTTGTCAGGAGCAACCACGGAATGCAGACTAACAGAGCCGCTGGACTCAGGACTATCCAGCCAGCCATGGGCCAGGATTATTACTCTGTGCTCCAGATCACTCGCAATTCAGAAGATGCCCAGATCAAGCATGCGTGAGTGGGGGCAGGAGCGAGGCTTTTGGGTTGTGCTGGGACAGGCCCACCCTCATCTCTTCCAAACTGAGCTTTCCTGCACAGCTTAGGGCAGGCAAGGTAGACCTTGTTCCTTTTCTTGCTTCTTGCACACCGACTTCCTGGCTTTGGGCTGGGTCAGGGTTCCCAATCCATCATCCCTTACTCTCTATGCCCTGTCTGCTCTCCTGGGTACCCTGGTTTTCCTAGCAATAAAATGGGAACAAAGGAGACTTTTGCTTAATAATATGGAGACCCAAAGTATTGTGAACAGGAGAGTGACCTGACCAGATGGATGTATTACATATTTTATTCTGGCTGTCCACGTGGGGTTTTGGCATTGAATAAATTACATCTCTGAATAGTTCCATCAAGTCTTGGGGACTTTGTGGTGTGTCTAAGACAGGAATCAGCACATTTTTCTGAAAAAATATTTTTTGACGAATATTTACTGAGCGCCTACTTATATGGGTTCGGTGCAGTCTCAGCAGCTACAGATATCATGAATCAGACATGTGCAGCTTAACTTTGTTGGTGGATACAGATGTTGAATAAGTCACAGCAGGCTTGATGAATGTTACAAAAAGGGGCATATAGGGCATGTGGAAGCTATCTTGGAAGGAGAGAGACCCCTTCAGAAGCTGTCATGATAATCAAGGCAAAAGATGAGGCTTGAAGCAGGGCAGTGGGCTGGAGAGAGAAGAGAGAATGGACTTAGCTATAAATTGGATCATTGTAGGGTAAAGAAGAAAGGGAGGAATCTAGGACAATTTAATTAATTAAGGTTGTATGATAATAGCTACACTTATTGAATTGTGCAGATGCTGTTCTGAGAACATTCCATCATTATTTCACTTAATCCTCACAACAGCCCTGAGAGGTAGGTACCATTATTATCCCAAGGCTATGTGCCTAGTAACCGGCAGAGCCAGTATTCAGACACCTTGCCTGCTCTAATTGCCTACCACGGGCCAAGTCCCATAGGGGATCTCAGTGGGGTAAGTGGAGAGAGTCTACAGTGTGGCTGGCGAAACAAGACACAAACTCGTTAATCAATTAGAGAACAATTCGGGACAGTGTGTGATGTCACCCACTGTTCATAGCATTTCATTGGCCAGTGAGACCTGTCTAGGGAAAGGTCACAAGGAGGGAGGGCAGTTGGAATGCAGAAAGATAAGCCCAACTTAAGCACTGGAAAGAGCCAGGTCTGAACCTAGGTTCTCCTATCTGCTAGCTGTGTGACCTGGGAAAATTGCTTAACCTTTCTGAGCCTCAGTTTTCCCATCTCTTAAAAAAAATAAAATGAAAAATAAGAATTGTTGTGGTATTGAAATAGAATTATATGAGATAATGAGCATGAAGATGCCCAGCAATCATTTGCGTCTGAAACCATGTCTTATAAAGAGTGATTAAAAGAACCATATATGTTCCAAACAACAGTCCTTAACCTTTCTCCCCTGAAACAACTCTTTTTTAAAAAAATTATTTATTTATTTATTTTTGGCTGCGTTGGGTCTTCATTGCTGAACGTGGGTTTTCTCTAGTTGTGGCGAGCGGGGGCTACCCTTCGCTGCGGTGCGCGGGCTTCTCATTGCGGTGGCTTCTCTTGTTGCAGAGCACGGGCTCTAGGCACGTGGACTTCAGTAGTTGTGGCATGCAGACTCACTAGTTTGGCTCCTGGGCTCTAGAGCGCAGGCTCAGTTGTTGTGGCGCACGGGCTTAGTTGCTCCACGGCATGTGGAATCTTCCTGGACCAGGGCTCAAACCCATGTCCCCTGCGTTGGCAGGCGGATTCTTAACCACTGTGCCACCAGGGAAGTCCCCCTGAAACAACTCTTAAGGCATGAGTCACATGTTTGACACACTCTTCCATGGGAGCACCTAGATTTTGACCCCTCCCCCCAAAAAAGGCTAAACTTATATAATGATGACAAGCACCACGATGATTCATAATCGCCCAGCTATTAACTTCTCACTCATTCATCCGAGGCTGCCGCATCTGGGCTGTGACTTCGCCCCTTTCTCTCCCACTCAGGAAAGCAGGTGAATGAGAGTGATGTTACTGCAGAGCTTAAAACCACTCAAGTTTATATGGAAAACTGAACTCTTTTCAAACCTCCTTACTTTTACTCACTGTTAGAGTTTTCCTGCAATTCTCACACCTGACTACAACCTTTGTAATTGAGAAGGGCTGGTTTAGAAGTGTCAGGGAGGGTGTGAAAATTGCCTTCAAGTCTGTCAAGGTAGACAGAGCAGATTCTGTCTGTAAGGCCCCCCAGGGCAGAGCCAGGACCAGGACCATCGTGGATGGAGGCAGAGTCGCAGGACAGCAGACCCAGCTCAGTAAGAGAAAGCTTTGCCTAAAAGTCAGACTGGCCCCATAGTGAAATGGGCTGCCTTGTGGGACAGTGATTTCACAACGTTTACTCACTGCACTTGGTGCTAGGCACTGAGGACACAGAGAACTGGACACGACAACTGGAGGGTCTCACTCACAGGCTGGTGGGAGAGACAGATCCGTCGAACAACTGAAGCACCACGTGCTAAGTATGAGGATCAAAGGCACTTGGGGATGTGGGAAAGAGTATCTAATCTAGACTGGAAACTAGTCAGGGAAAACATCCTGGAGGAGTTGACCCCTGAGTTGAATGTGGAAAGGTGAATAAATATTTGCCAGGAGGAGATGAAAGGAGCTGGAGAGGGGTGAGCATTCCAGGTAAAGGGAGGAGAATGTCAAAGCCATGAGCAGTGCAGAGTGTGGAGCTTGGAGCCTGGAGAGAAGGACAGGAGAGGTCATGGGAGCAGGGAGGGAGAGCTGTGAGTGAGAAGGGCAGAGAGAGAAGCAGAAGTTGAATCTCAGAGACATTTGAATTTTATGCTGAAGACAAAGGGGGAACCAGTAAAGGGTTCAGGCAGGAGAGTGACTTGGTCAGGGAGCATTTTAAAAACATCAAATTAACAAAAGAGAGAGAGAGATCAAAGTGGTGGCAGCACACAGAATAGACTGGAGAGGGGGAAACTGGAAACAGGAAGACACGGTTCTGCAATGGTTGTAGGGATGAAGAAGCAGCAAGAAAACATTATTTAGAAGGAAAAGCTGATGTGCCTCGGTGACTGATGGGATGGTGGTGGAGGGGACGAAGGAGAACTTGGAGTGGAAGATACTCAGCTTTTCCGCTTCAGGGTCTGGACAAATGGGGAAAAGTTTAGGGAATGAAAATGTGTGCACGTTTGGGCTCATTGAGGTTGTGGGGCCTGTGAGACACTGGAGAGGAGGTACCGAGTAGGCAGCTAGGTACAGAGGTCTGGAGCCAAGGGAGCGAACTGGTTTGAGATAGAGATTTGGGAATCATCAGCGTGTAGCTGGTGCTCAAAGCCGTCGGCCAGCTAAGCTTGTCCACGGAGTGTGTGTGGAGTGGAGTAAGAAGCACGGCAGAGCTCTGGGGTCACTGGCATGGAAGGTGTGAGCAGGGCGGACCATGTGTGGGACCACATGTGTACTGAGTGACTGAGGAGGCTGTGCGGATGCCCTCCTTTTGCTCCTGCAGACCCCCACCCCACCTTTCTGCACCCTGCTCTCTGCTCTGGGAGACTGGCCCATATGAACTGCATCAGCAGACCTCCTGGCCCTCAGGCTTCCAGATGCATCCTGCAAAAGGAGCACAAGGCAGGAGATTGGGAGGGAGGAGAGTGGGGCAGGGGTATTTATTCCCAGCTCCCTTCTTATGGGATCTCTTCAGGTTGGCTATGGCCCTGAATCAAAGATCACAGCTTTTACCAAGGCCCTGTCCACACACTCTCTCCTGTGGGGTTTCAGTAACCTCTCCCTCCCCTCACTGCTACAGGCTCATGGGTGGTCAGGACACCTCAGGACTCGTAGCCTCAAGGGACTGTGCTGTCCCTTGTGGTTTCCTGCCCCACCTCTCACACCTTGGTGTGTGGTCCATTATTAAACTCTCCACAAATCTCCAGCTTGTGCCACGTCTTTCCTCCTGAGATGTAATGATACAGATCCCCAGATGCTGCAGGTGTGGCATCACTGTGTGGTGGGATTGGGCAGACACATAAATGGGGGAAAGGGGGACTTCCCTGGTGGTCCAGTGGTTAAGAATCCACCTTCCAATGCAGGGGACGCGGGTGTGATCCCTGGTCGGGGAACTAAGATCCCACATGCTGCGAGGCAATTAAGCCCACGTGCTGCAACTGCTGAGCCCGTGCACTCTGGAACCTGCACGCCACAACTAGAGAGAAGCCTGAGCGGTGCAACAAAAGATCCTGCATGCCGCAGCGAAGATCCCACATGCCACAACTAAGACCTGCCTGACACAGGCAAATAAATAAACAAACAAATAAAAAAGAAATAGGGGAAAGAATGAGCACAGAGGGGCAGACAGCGAGACGACCTGATCTGTGCTGAGTGCCTCTCTGTAGCAGGCCCACTGACACCTTATTTTATCTAATCTTCCCAAGAAGCCTGTGTGTCAGTTCAGACACCAAGACAGAATTAGACGTGCAAGAAATGTTTGAGGGAAACAACTGTGAGGATGAAGCGGGACTAGGAATGTGCCGGGGAGCCTTCACACCATAGTGCAGGTCTGATGCTTGTGAAAGGCAAGAGGGAAGGAAGGGTTGGGTAGGGAGGGCTCTGGCGTCATCCAGAGAAAATCTCAGCCAGGCTGATGGGGAGGCCTCGAGCAGAGGTTGGGCATTGGAGGAGGCTTGGGTCCTGTAGGGCTGGCCCAGCACTGATTGATACCCCAACAAGCATAGGCATAGGTTGGGAGCCACTTGGGGCCAGTGCAGCCTCAGCACAAACGGCCAGTGGGGCAGCTCCTGGGACTGTCAGTCAACCATGCTCCCGACACTGGGTTCTCTTCCAGGGGATCTGAGTGTTGCGCCTCCCTGGCCACCACAGCCCTGATTTATAGCTGGAACATCAAAGCTCCGAGAGACCACCAGGCAGCAGACAGCAGAGCCAGCTCTGAACCTTGGTCTGTGCCTCAGGATATTAACCCTCCTCGCTCTAGGTACCGGAAACTTGCCCTTAAGAACCACCCGTTGAGGTCCACTGAGCCATCCGCAGCGGAGGCATTCAGGCAGATAGCAGAGGCCTACGATGTGCTGAGCGACCGTGAGTGATTGGGACTGAGCATGGAGGGCGGCTTCTCTGTCCCGCGTCTCTATTAACATCATCCTCACGTCTCTGAGCGTTGGGCTTTCTGAGGGGGCCCAGCAGAGGGTAAGCATTCCTCTTCCCTGCCCAGAATCTAAACAAATTGAGAAAGGAAACATAATGAACTGCCTTTCTCAGTAGACACAAGCTAAGGTGGAGGACGTGGTGTGGAGAGCCCCCAGATTAGGCTGACATGCTCCGCTAGTCTCAGCAGTGCAGGACCTGGGGCAGGGCCTTCCCCCGCCCCCCACTCCCCGCCTCACATGCCCCGTGCCCCACCCATCCCCTGCAGGACTGCAGAGTGAGATGCTTGCTGCCCAGGAAAGAAGGCTAAGGCTGAGGCAGACACGCCCGGTTATTCCCTGATTACCAAGAAGCTAAATCTCCATCTCCTCAAGGACAGCATATGTACAAAGGGACAGAGAGGGGTCTGTGATTAGGAAATCTCTCTCCTGTGGAAAACTGAAGCCTAGGGAAAGAGATCCCCCGCCCCTGCCCGAAGCAGTGCCCACATGGGTTCCCTAAGGGCTTGCCCTGGAGACTGTGATCATGGATACTGTGCAGAAGAATGGCCAGAAGATCACTGATGTTTCTCCAGCCCCAAGTTTTCAGGACTTCGGACTCTAAGATTTCAAAGCTCTAGCATTTGGAAGCTCTAGAATTCTTACATCCTACAATCTCAAGGCTCTAGGATTCTATTTACCCCACAAAAGACAGTAGCTGTGATGACTGAGTTAAGCCAAACCCCAGGATGATAGCCCTCAGTCTCTCACTGTCTTCTCCAATCCCCACCCCTCCCCCAGCAAGTTTCAGTCTTTATCATCTCTCCTCTGGGCTATGGGATCATACCTAGGTCCACCCAAGATGAAATGAAATCCCTAACTTCTAGAGTCGGCCAGACAGCAGGCACCTTAGAAATAAGGCTCTTTTCGCCCCGCCCCTTCCTCTCTGCCCCATATCCTTCTGCTTCCCAGCCCTCCAGCTCTCTTAGCCCCTATGCTGGATCCCTCCTCAAGGTGACACATATCCACAGCTGTGAAAAGAGGCATCTATGACAAGTTCGGAGAGGAAGGCCTGAAGGGCGGAATTCCTGTGGAGTTTGGATCGCAGACCCCGTGGACAACTGGTTACGTCTTCCACGGCAACCCGGAAAAGGTTTTCCATGAGTTCTTCGGGGGAGATAACCCCTTTAATGGTAAGAGGTCCTGCCTGCCCCTTTGCCTTACTGGGAAGGACATAGCTATAGAAGATGCTTTTCTCTGAGTAGTTTTGTTTACTTTAAGAAATATATATAGTCCATGGTAAAAAAAAAAATTATTGTAAAAGAAATTCCAGTCCTCCATTCCTTCCCCAGAAGCAGCCACTCACTGTTAACAGTGTTTGTATCCTTCTAGAAATATTCTATGGATTTATGAGCTTAGATTTATTTTTACATAGCCTTTTATTTTGTGAAGGAAATGGGACCACATTATATACACTGATTTTTTTTCACTTATATCTTGGAGATTATCTTATTATACATTATATTATAAACAGATCTACTTTATTCATTTTAATGGCTGCATAAGATTTCAACGTACAAGCGTGTGTTAGTGAGATGAATACAGGGATGGATGTGTGAATGATCCCAGGTTTGAGGCAAACTGACAAAGAGTTGATTTCCAAGGCTCCGAATCATCATGCAAGGACAGTTCACCTTCAGACCTGTCTTCCTTCCTGGCTCCAGTTAAGCAGCTCACAGAGTCTAGATTTTCATTGCCTGGCTGCCCCAGCCCCTTCTCCCCGGCTATACTACAGCTTGTCTGCATTTCAAAGCTTACCTCTTCCTCTTCTCCACATTGATATGTTAAGTGGGCTACAGCCTGCTCAGAGGCCCCTCCTACTGTGCATTGCCTTCACCTGTCTGCCAGAGGAAGCTGAGTTTATAAACTCCAGGTGAAACTGGAAAAGCAAGGGACTTGGAGTCAGAGGGCCTGTTTCAAATCCATGCACCACTGCTTATGAGCCGTGTGATCCTGGACAAATCTCTTCACCTCTCTGAAACCTCAGCTTCCTCATTGTTAAACAGCTAGTTCCTCACAGGTCATAATCAAATGAGATGATCTTTATGAAAATGGGCTTTGGAGTCAGAAAAATGCCATACAATGGGCCTATCTCTCCCAGGGACAGGTGCATGGAGAAGAAGCTGTTCAGGGGAGCGAAACCAGAGCTTACAGGGGTATTGCTCATTAGGGAAGGTCAAATTCATGGTATGGGGGTCCCTCAGGCAGTTCCCAGGAGTTATACTGCTGTAGTGCTTCACCCTAGGGATTCTTGTGTCCCATCTCCCTGCAGAATTGAGGGGCTTGGCTTCCTGTGACCTGGCTTTTGGAGTGTCTGAGACCTGGCACACCATAGGCGCTGGGAGAACAAATGAATTCAACCATGCAAGAGGGGACCCGGTAATTCACAGGCCTCTTGATGACCCATCACATCTTTTTCTTTTTGAATTTTATTTTATTTTTTATACAGCAGGTTCTTATTAGTTATCTGTTTTATACATATTAGTGTATATATGTCAATCCCAATCTCCCAATTCATCACACCACCACCACCCACCACTTTCCCCCCTTGGTGTCCATACGTTTGTTCTCTACATCTGTGTTATGACTCATCACATCTTAAGGCGCACCTTAAGATGACACCACCTTGCCCTCCCTAGCCTAAGGTCATTCTAGCCTGCAAAGTTCTTTCTGTGACACTAACCAGGAGGGGCAGAGTACAGGAAATCTTAATTATGATAGTGACGCCTGCAGTTTACAAAGGGCTTCATTAAGCTTAGTGGTTAAGGGCACAGGTTCTGTAGTCAAATCCTCCTGGGTTCACATCCCAACTCTAATACCACTAGCTGTGGCACTGTGAGCATTTTGTTTGACCTCTCTGGGCCAATAAGATAATATCGCAGAGTTGAGAACAGCACCTGACACGTAGTAAGCTCTCAGCAAGTTTTGTTTTTAGTTATTTTTTTTAAAGATTTTGTTTTGATGTGGACCATTTTTAAAGTCTTTATTGAATTTGTTACAATATTGCTTCTGTTTTATTTTTTTGGTTTTGGTTTTTTGGTTGCGAGGCACGTGGGATCTTAGCTCCCTGACCAGAGATCGAACTGGCACTCCCTGCATTGCAAGGCAAAGTCTTAGCCACTGAACCACCAGGGAGGTCCCTCTGAGCTAGTTTTAGTTCATCATCATCTTGTTATCTGATCCTAATGGTGGAAGGCAGGTCAAGCATGTTACCCCATCCCACAGACTGAGAAACTGAAGCCCAGACGATTGCAGTGCACCTCAAGGGCAGGGGCTCTTTACACTAGGATGGAAGGTGGGGCAGCAAGAGGGGTTATGGGTGTAGAGCTGGGAAGGGCCAGAAGAAGTTGAGGAAAGAGGAGTTTGGAAACATGTTGGTGACATCTCTAATTTGTTAGGGATTAACCCTGTCTCTCCCCATCTCAGCTGCTGACTTCATAGAAATTTGAGCCTGGGGTCTCTAGTGGTCTTGGGCTGGGCTGAACAGGGAGGACAATGGAGCCTGGGGAAGGGTAGGGAGGACTGGCATGCTGTGACCCTCCACAAAAACTAACAGCACATCATTTCTGGCACTACCAGCTACTGCCACCAGAGGACACTCCTGTCTCCTCTGAGGCAGCCTGAGTTGAGGAGTACTTCCCCAGAGGTAGGGGTGGGCTGGGGGAGGGAGGTAGGGAAGTGTGGGTGAAGGGAGTCCAAAGGGGGGGATAAAGCAGTAGTAGAGGGCATCAAGAGATGGTAATCCTTGGATCGACAGTTGAGGATGTTACTGAGTCCAAGCTTCTACTGCTCGCTGCAGGACAGGCCAATAAATTGAGAGATGAGTTGTTGGGGGCAAGGAATAGCGACTATATTTGAAAAGGCAGCAAACCAAGAAGATGTGGACTCATGTCCCAAAGAACCATCTTGCCTGAGTTAGAATTCAGGCTTCCTTTATACCAAAAGGGGAGGGGGTAAAGTCACATTTCCTAGCTCCCCGTCAGACTCAGGAGGGGAGGTGTTAATTTCCTCCTCCCTGCAGTCATTCACAGGTGAGCCTGGTCAGGATGTTTTCTGTGAGCTAAACAAGGGTATTTTAGCTTAATGCTCATTACCTGGGAGGTAGGGTTCCCAGAGATGGGCCATTACGTATAATTTAAGCTTATAGGTAACATCTGTTTAGTGATTAACTTGTAATAGAATACAAAGGTTCTTCCCTATTACAAGGGCAGCTCGTTGGCCCGGCCGAACAGTCTGAGTCTGCGAGGTGGGAATGGGAGTCTGGGTATTACGCTTGGGGACTGAAGAGGTGGGGGGATTGGCTATGAATCCGAGTTTCTGGACACAATTTCTCCTACTCCTCGCCTCTCCCCACCTCCTGCAGAGTTTTTTGATGCAGAAGGAAATGAGGTAGACTTGAATTTTGGGGGACTCCGGGGCCGAGGGGTCAAGAAACAGGACCCCCCAATCGAACGAGACTTCTATCTATCCCTGGAGGACTTATTCTTTGGCTGCACCAAGAAAATTAAGATCTCCCGAAGGGTGAGTACTTGGGAGCCACCTTCTATCCCCTCCAACCCTACTGGTTACCTCCTCCCTGACCCTAACTGGAGACCTCAGGTATGGTCTCTCACAGAATCATGGAATCTTAGATTTGGAGATGGTAGAATTCTAAAATCTGAAGTTTGGAAGGGACAATTGAGGGTATTAGCCTGGTTCTTTCCTAGTTCAGGAATCCCCTCTGTGTGCTTCTAACTGGGACAAGCTCTTTCCGTTCTTCTCAGTTCAGCCCCATCCCTGAGGGAAGAGGGAGGGCTGTGGGTGGGAGGAGTCTCCTGTGAATTCTGCTCTCTGGGCATTACCAGACCATACCCTCTGGGTTTCATCTGGGTGTCTGCCTCATGAGTAAGAAGGAGCTGTGTGGGCATGGGGGGTGGGCTGGGGGACAGTTCCCCAGGGGACTGGTTGAAGAAGACCCTCAGTGCCCCAGGGTCCAGACCCTGCATTGGCCCTGTCCCACGGTCCAGCCCTGTGCTAGGCACATGAGCAAGGCCACCTCACACCTTTGCCCAACAGAGGAGATGCCAGCTGTAGCCATGCTTTCCACAGATGGCACCCATCTGGGTACGTGACTGCAGAATAGATGGATGACATAACAAAGGAAAGCTTTGGGTGAGGCTGAGATATGTTGCTCTCTGTGATCTTTCTCCCTTTGGGATTAAGAGACCTGCTAGAGGCTCAGGGCCAAAGCCTCTGGGGTGGGAGAGGAAGTGAGTGCGTGTTCACCGTGTCTGTTAGAAGCCAGGGCCTCATAATTTCTAGGGCTGGAGTTGTGGCCTTGATCGACTCATGGTGACTACTTGGCACCTCAGGCCCTAACCCCATGACACGCCCTGCCATCCTGGAATCATAAGCTCTTGGTTCCAGTGGAATAGGGTGGGAGTGGGGATGGCTCAGGGCAAGTTCTCCCCATTGCTAGAGAACTGAGCTGAGCACAGATCCCATGGAGCATCCCTCATGTGTGTAAAGGCCAGCTGGGAAATCCTGAGCAAATCTCCCTCCCCTGTCATCTCACTACAGGTGCTGAATGAGGATGGGTACTTCTCTACCATCATGGACAAGATCCTCACGATTGACGTGAAGCCTGGTTGGAGGCAGGGCACACGTATCACCTTCGAGAAGGAAGGGGACCAGGTGAGAAGAAGGGAAGCTGCCTAGGGACAGTCACATGGGTTCATTCGGTGGAAAGACTGAGGGGGAAGGAGGCAGTGCTTTTTCTTGCCCCTATGAGCCCTGGTCTGGAAGGGAGACCGGTCTGCAGCGTGGGTGAGCTGATCCCTAATGTCCCTTCCGAGGGACAAAGCCTTGCACAATGCCTCGGGGATTGGGTAGCCCGGGGTTTCTCCCCATTTTGCAGAGTGAGAAACTGAGGCCTAGAGAGGGAAGGGACTTTCCCTGGGCAAGAGCACCGGAGCTGAAAGGAGAATCCAGTCCTAACATCAGTGTTCTTCCTGATTTTCTGTAGTGTTTCTCTGAGTAAAGCCCAACTATAGGAGCTACACAGAAACCATTTATTTATAATAATTTTCAATTAAATACTTAAATAAAAATGTAAAATTATTGTCCAAGGCATGCTGAATCCTCAAGTCCTGAGAAGAGGCAGGATGATGGTGTCTTTAGAGCCAGAGAAATGAATTCCTCTGCCTGTACTTCTTGCCCCCTTTCTCACTTATGAAACACCTACTTTTGAAAAACCCACTTCAAGACCCAGCTCCAATGCTCTGGGCATCCTTCCCTGACCTCTCCTCTGGGTCAGCGCCTCTCTGAGCTCCCGCCTCTGTGTTCCCTTTATCACATTCTTGAGCCTGCTGAGGATTCACTGTGTGCCTGTTTCCTCCACTAGACTGGAAGCCCTTGGGGGTGGTGGCCAGTCTGATCCCTCTGTCCCCAGTGCCCAGAAGAGACCCAGCAGAGGTCTGGAACTTAATGAAGCTTGGCAGGATAGACTTGCAGGCAGTTCTCTGTCCCCAGGACAGTGTTCTGCCCTTCAGCTGCGTGCATCTCCTTGGGCTGCTCAGTAGAGGACAGTGATGGGGGTAGAGCAGGATTCTTTGGGGTAGGCTTCTCAGAGGAGGGGCTATGAAGCCAGACTGGAAAGGCCTTTCCAGAAAACCTGGTCTAATCTCCTCATTGTTCAGAGGAAGACATGGGGACAATAGAGGCAGAAACTTGGCCAAAGTCACACAGCCAATTAGGCCTTGTCATCCCTTGGCTCACCCTGCCCAGGGTCCCAACATCATCCCAGCCGATATCATCTTCATCGTAAAGGAGAAGCTACACCCTCGCTTCCGCAGGGAGAACGACAACCTCATTTTTGTGAACTCCATCCCCTTGGGCAAGGTGAGTGGGCAAAGTGGAGGAACAAGGGGTGGGCAGATCAGAGCGAGGCCCCCCCACCCCTGGGAGGCCCCGAGGCAAGCAGGCTTCACTCCCCTCTCCCCCTGGTGCGTGGCGCAGGCCTTCAGAACGTGATAAGTGCCACACAAAACCTTTGTGACCGTCTTCACTCCTGAGTGTGAGTGGCCCCTCTGCGCCCTCACAACCCAAGCAAGAAATTGGGCACCGGCCTAGACTTTGCCGCCCTTCCCCGACCCCACCTGCAGTCACGCACTAAGTCCTGTTAATTCCACCTCCAAATCTCTTTCCACTTGGTCCACTTCTGTTCAGCCCCACTGTCCAGGTCTGTGCACCTGGGTGTATGCAGCAGCCCTCTCAGTGGCCTTCCTGCCTTTCTTCTCATCTCCTTCAGGCACTTCCCCACCAGGGTCTTTCCACAAAGTCATCTGACCCTGCCACACTCCTGTCTAAACATCTTTGCATGGCATTCAAGGCCCTCTGCTGTCTGGCCCCTGCTGATCTCATCCCCTGCACTCCAGCCACTGCCACTTAGAGCTCCTGCCCACTGGGTGCATTCTTTTTCACACACTCGTTCTCTTGCTTATGCTGGGCCCTTTGCCTGGAGTGCTGTCTGCCCACCTTGTCTAACTGGCAGGCTCCTCCTCACCCTTTAAGGCGCTCATCAGCTGCTACCACCACTATGGAGCCCTCCTGCCCCAGCCCAGAATGGTTCAGTGGACCCGCCACCTTGGCTCCCACCGACCCCTTTACTTCCCTCTGTCATAACATGTATCAACATCACTCTTATCTCCCAGACTGTGAACTCCTTGAGGGCAGGTGGTAGCCCGGCTCACTCACCTATTAGTCCTTGAACATCCTTCTGTCTCCAGTGCGTAGGGCCTGGCACTGAATAGTCTCATAAAGTGCCTTCTGAAGAGAATGGACATGGGGGCCTCCCCCACTCCCACCTTTGGCCTTAATGTCCCCTAGGCTCTGACCTGCTGCACCGTGGAGGTGAAGACCCTAGATGACCGTCTGCTCAAAATCCCCATCAATGACATCGTCCAGTGAGTCCATCTGCTTGGGCCCCAATACGCAGAAGGGCTGCCTGGTCCTTAGAGGGTGTGTTGGACAGGCTGGCCTGGTATAGTTGTTCAGGTTGTACCCAGCACAAAGGGGTGAGAGAGACTGAAATCCAGCCCCCTCTCTGGCTAGGCTGCGGGCCGCATTCACTTGGCAAATGAAGTGCCTTTTTCTAACTTGCATGAAGCCATTGTGGAGGCCAGAGGCCCCCTGTGTTGGGAAATCCTTGTTGCCTTCATCCTCTAGAAGTTCTAGAGTTCTGAGTTGCATCTCCTAAGCCCTTTTCCAAGCAAGGCCCTCTGCATGGGAAGCTCAGCAGCCCAGCACTCCCCCACCCCAACCCAGGGTCTGCTGCTTGTCCTGTTTCCCATGTAAAATGGGATTCCTGGAATCCACCATCAGAGCCTCAGTGTAAACGGTTTTCAGGGAACAAGTTGTCTGGAACAAGCCAGTCTCCTCTCCCCTCCCACTGGTTCTAGAAGCTGCTGACTGCCCCACGCCTGAGGTTTTCTGGGCAGGGGCGGGTGTGCTGCTCTGGGGTGCCCTCTGAGCCCCCTTCTTTCATCTTCCCGTCTCAGCCCCAAGTACTTCAAGAAGGTGCCAGGTGAGGGGATGCCGTTGCCAGAGGACCCCACCAAGAAGGGGGACCTCTTCATTTTCTTTGACATCCAGTTCCCCACCTGCCTCACACCCCAGAAGAAGCAGATGCTGCGCCAGGCGTTGCTGACATAACTCTGGTGGGCTGGGGACTGGAGCAGGGGGAAGAGAAGGCTAGCTGGTCCTGACCCCACCCCTACCCCCAGCACGGGGTGTGCACAGGAGCCAGCCCACTGCACAGGCATGACGTGAGGACCGGATGGCATGGGATTTTAAACTGATACAATAAAGTGTTATTTCCTATCCTCCAGCTACACCCAAGAGAGTGTGTGTTGGAGGGAGAAGAGCTTCATACAGCCGTTCTTGTGGAGCAGAGGGAAGGGCAGGGCTCAAGAAGCTGAGGACCTGGGACCCTGTCCTGGCTGTGTGAGCCTGGCCAGGTCCCTGAGGGTTCAGAGCCTCTGTGCTCCCACCTTGATAGCGTGGGGCAATGCTACATCGTCTCTGAGGGTCCCCAGCTCTATTTCTCATGACACACGATCTTTGGAAGGGCAGTCTCTAGTGTGATATAGTCACATTGTACTCAGGAATGCAAAGCACAAAGAGAACAAAACCCTTGTCTCAGGTCACACAGGGCTCAGTGGCAAAGCTGTCATCAGAATCTTGAAGGCCACTTCCCACAGCCTCACTCTGCTTCGATTAGAGGCAGCATGAGGGACACAAGTGCTGGAAATGGCTTTGGTTTCTGCCTGGCCTGGGCTGCCTCTAGGCAGGTCTTAGAACTGGGCTCTGCTCCCAGTCCTGCCGCTCACCCTTTGGATGTTACTCTCCATCTTGTTAGTGAAGCAGAACCCATAACCCTCCTCAGGCAGCTCACTGGTGCGAAAGTGCTTAGTGAACTCACTGCTTAGATTATCAGGGTTACAGCATTGCTACCAGCATGGCCTGGGGGAGTGCCAGCCTCCAAGCCCAGCTGGGCCTTTGCAGACCACACCTGCTTCCCCAGCCCGCCTTCCATCGACAGTGCAGCATGCACCTCTTCTGTGCCAGGGGAGGTGCCCTTCACTTGAGTCTGGACTTGGGCTAGGAGAGATCCAAGCTTATGACAGAGAGGGTGGCCACTTTTGTGAAGTGACTTAAGAGGTGCCAGAGGGACTTCCCTGGTGGTCCACTGGTTAGGATTCCGTGCTTTCACTGCTGAGGGCCCAGGTTCAATCTCTGGTCAGGGAACTAAGATCCTGCAAGCTGCGCGGAACAGCCCTCAAAAGAAAAAAAAAGAGGTGCCAGAAAAGGGCCCCATGATATCCACATTGCTTGGATTCCACCATTCAAAGCATCATATTAGCTTAAGGTTTTTCTTCTTAAATGGGGGCTCAGTAGCACCAGTCAGCCACTTTTAACATCAGGGAGAAAGCAGCCGACCTTGAGACAGAGTCTGACCCAGGGTTCACTAAAGAATGGGGGCTTTGGAGTTAGATGCACCTCAGGTGTTCTACTTAACCAGCTGTGTACCCTTGGGCAAATCGCTTCACCTCTGAGCTATTTACAATCCCTATCTTGCAGGGCTGTGGAAACCAGAGGAGTGAAGCAGACTCTGCCCTGAGGTAGGACCCAGGTGGAGAGGTGGCGGTAGGTGCCCTGTTCTGAGAGCAAGCAAGTGGGTGAGGGCCTGCCTTGTGAAACTCTGGTGCTCCAGCTGTCCTCTAGGGCAGCAGCAAGGCCTGCTCTTAACCTTTTCCTCATGGTGAGACTCTCAGGCCTGTGAGAGCCATTTATGAGATTGTTGTTATTACCTCAGTGTGGCCTTCAGTGCTACTTTGTGTCAGGTATTTTATAGGCATTAAGGGTTGAGGAGTTACTGAGGCCTCCTGGTATGCTGTCCAGTGGTTCCTCCCACCTTTCCCAGCCCCTCATTGTCTCAAGGTCATGCCTAGAACCGTGATGAAGTCTGGTGGCCTCATGTCCATGCCAGTGTCTGAAACACAAGGCTGGTGAATGAGCCAGCTGACAATGCCTAAGGCAACAAATTGCCCCTCAGTTTCCTCTGGTGCAAAACAAATCCTGCCTCAGAGGATTAATGTGAGAATTAAGGTGCATTAAGTACACTGACCGGGTCCTCCACTTATGCCGACTCCCTGCCACCTTCACCCTGGCTTGACTCCTGCACCCAACCCTGTCCCTCTTGGGGACTATGAGACCTCAGCTCAAAAGTAAGGTGAGGTTGTAAATCAACTATACTTCAATAAAAATAAAAAGTAAGGTGAGGAGTCCTGGACCCTCTTTCCTTCTCTACAACTCTAATATCCTGGACCCCTTGCCCAAGCACTGAAGGGCCCAGCCTCCTGCTCTGACCAGTGGGGAAGGCACAGTAGCACCAGCTGACTTAAACAGGAAGGTCACGTTCTCTGGGCTTGGCTCCACAGCTGCCCAACAGGATTCCTGAAGGACCCCAGCCCCTAGGGGAAAAGTGCACAGGGGGAGGGCGGAATCTGAGTCCTAGTCCCAGTTCAGCGGCTGATTTCCCTTGTGTCCTTGCCTGCATGACCTGTCTCAGCCCTCAGCTTCTTCAGACATCTATAAAACGGGCCTGGATGGCTTAATTCTAAGGGCCCAGCCCTTCAGGAGATGGCTTGGGATTCTGGAACCTCACAGAGTCCCCTAACCCTTGAAACAGAAGTAGCCCTGCCCACCTGCTTTCCTGACTGGAGACAGATGGTAGGAAGAGGGACAGGGAGGCTGACACCCCTGGTTTGTCACCACCTCCCTGGGATCTCTAGCCTGGGGTGAGGGTGAGACTCTAAATGGAAAGACTCCGGCTGAGGCTGGGTGTCTGCTCTACAGCCTGTCCCACCCAATGCAGTTATACCGCCTCCTAAGGGTATGACTGTGGAGGATGGGAAGCAACCTGACTTGTCCTCACTAAGCCTGGGACTTGGGGGAGGTGGATTTCCCATTTGTAAAATGGAATAAAATAAGCCTACAGCATCTAAGGTTCCTAAGTTCCTCTAAATCTTCCAAGCAGCACAGGAGAAGCAGGGCAAACAGGAACACTCATTTTGCAGATTAACAGGCCCGGGGCCAGCTGTGGGGGTTGGAAAGGCAGGTACTGGAGTACCAGACACTGGTGAGTGAAAGCTCAAGTGGTGTGGCGAGAGAGCAAGGCCACTGCTAACTCCAGGCCGCTCCTTTACTTGCCACCCCAGCCCTGGCCTGGTCTGGAAAGAGAAGCAGACCGGATGACCTCCACCCAGATTGCTGGAGGAAGATGGGTCACACCCCCCTTTCCAAGTCAGGTGGCTCCTCCCCTGCCTACCAGGTGCCAAAAGGGCCCATTAGACCAAGACCTCTGGTAACAGAGAGGGAGGAGACGCCAAGGTTGAGCTTGTTTTATGGGTGACGTGCTAGTCGGGCTCAGGGGCAGGAGGCAGGACGAAGAGTCAGGCTGAACTTCTCAAGGGACTGAGGGCTTGAGATGCTGGCTTGTCCAGGCTTCCCACAGTGTCAGCTGGGGTCAACTCCATCAGGACTGTGAGAGGAAACGGGGAGCTGAGGGGTGAAAATGTGGGGAGAGGGAAGGGAGGTGGTGGGAAAGGGAGCAGAGGGAAGGGGTGGGGAGAGAGGGAAGGGAATGAGGGGAGGAGGAAAAGGGAAGCAGGTCCAGGCTGCAGCCAAAGCCAGAGGTGATCAGCAGGGGAGGCTCAAAAGGGAGCATCCCGGGAAGCACAGGCAGCCACGAGGGCCCGTTTTAGCTGTTCATAGGTGACGAACATCACCACGTTCCAGGAACCCAATCGGAGAAAGGAGGGCATGAACCTAGAGGGGAGAAAACACACGTCATCTCTTTCACCCTGCTGGGCCCTGGCATCCAATCCAACCCAGATGCTCTGTCCCAAAGGAAGCTGGGAGGGCCCAGGGAATGGAGCTGTGGCCTGTGAGCAAGAGTCCCCTGTGAGTCTCCATTTTAACACCCACAAAGTAGGCATGATAGCAACTCTGAGAGGAAGGAGTTAAGAGCACGAGAATGCCAGGACCAGGATCAGAAATAGTTTGACACGTGGTTGCCACAGCAACCACTCAGTTCTGGGCGGTTCTCTCCCACCTGTGTGATAGGTACAGGTGGTACAGGTGGCCAGGAGGCCTAGAATTGGGTGGGGTGGATCAGAGGCTCACCCTTTGTAGAAGGCTTGGGGACCCTCCTTCTGGAGCATGGTGAGGGCGCAGTGGCCAGCACTGCGGTACTGGCATAGGGCAGAGTTCATGTATCTCGTCTTGACCACGTCAACAGGGGAGGAGATGATGGTGGTGCAGAAGCCCGCCCCGAAAGCGGAAGTGAAGTGGCAAGGGAGGTCATCTGCCAAGAAGGAGGAGCAGGGGAAGCAGTCAGGACTCCTCACCCCATAATTCCAGAAGGAAAGAGATGATTTAAGTAGCTAAGGTCTCGTGGTTTTAGAGACACAGAGACTGCAGCTGGGACCTCTCCCAGTGTCTCTGAGAGTCACTTTGCCAATCTAGCCTCAGCGCCTCAACGTGCAGAGTGGAAACTTCACCCCAGTTGGCTTCAGTTCAGTGAAAGAGAAACTCACTCCATAAGCAAAGGGGAAATGGGATGAAAAGATGTGGTCTCCAGGCAGACCCACACTGGCTCCTGGTTTGGGGGAAGGTGAGACCCAGCAACATCTACCCTAACTCACCTGTCATTAGGTTGGCCTTCAGGAGAGTGTCCTTGATGAGGTCGTAGGTCACCAGCTCAGCACAGTTGACAACAGCATTACGAGCGACATTGGGAGAGGTCCCTGCAGAAAGAAATGGTGCCTATGTGAGACCAAGGAATAGGGGAAGAGGAGGATGCGGAAGGGAAAACACCTGGTACACACCTTTCCAGAGTCCCCGAAACCCTTCCTCTCGGGCAATGGTCTTGTAGGCCTCAATGGTGCTTTGGTACCTCCGGCCACCTCCAGCCTGGGCGTGCGCCTGGAATCGGACCTTTACCACATCCGTTGGCTGGGCCACGGCCACAGCCAAGGCACCTGTGGTGCTGCCTGCCAGGAGGTGGCTCCCGATGCCGGCATCTGTGGGAGAACCATGGGGGTCGGTGGCCAGCTGGGTTTACACTCATTTCCCACCTCTCCTCACCAAAACCACATCACTGCCATTTCCTGTCTTCACTGTAACCTTTTGGTAATAAGACACAGACTAGCTCTGCTCTAAGAACTTTTTGCATCATACAGTCTATCACTGGGAGTGTCTACTACGTGCTGGGCACTGGGACAGAGCGAGGAGCAGGACAAAATGAGACCTAATGCTTTCTTTCATAAAGCATTTTCATTCACTTCATTATACCTACTCAGCAGCCCCGACAAATCAGAACCTTTTTTTTTTTTTTGGCAGTGCTGTGCGGCTTCTGGGATCTTAGTTCCTGACCAGGGATCAAACCTGGGCCCTGGCAGTGAAAGTCCTAACCACTGGACTGCCAGGGAATTCCCAAGTATCATTTCCATTTGACAAATATGAAAGGCTCCGAGAGAAGTGGCTTTTCTCAAAGACTGGGATTCATAGGACTTGGGTTCTCATCCCTGATCTACTTCTCCCTGCCATGTGATCTTGGGAAAAGTCAACCTTTTGATCTGGATTCTCATTTTCCTCACGTGTAAAATGGAGGGTGGGCATGGCATGCTGAGAAGGTGGAATGGAAGCGTGCTGGCCTTGGAGGCACAAGTCCTCAGTGTGTTTTCTTTCTGGCTCCCCAGTATGTGCCCTTGGCCAAGTCCCTCCCGCCCGAGCAAGCCTCAGCCTCTTCATCTGTAACACGGGGATGATACCACCTGCTCCCGAGGTGGTTGTGAGGACTGTTATGAGACGATGCCCTACTTGGAGCCTGGCACAGCCCAGGTGTTCAGGAATCATTAGAAGAATCGGGGACCCTTCTAGTTCTCAGTTCCTCTGATCTGATATTCCTCCTAGAGGTCTTGGGGCCTAAAGGAACTGTGCAGCTAAAAGAACGAGGATCAACCATCACTGAGAAGAGGCCAAGAGGCCTATGGCCCAGCTCCACACTCACGCTCAGAGCCCTTGGTGTAGAACTGCTTGACAGAGTCGTAGAGGCCGATGCGGATGGAGGCAAAGCTCATCTGGCGCTGCAGGCCGGCGACCAGCCCTTTGTAGAGGCTGCGGGGGCCCTCGGTGCGCACCATGGTCAGGATGGTGCCCAGCACCCCGCGGTACTGGGCACTGGCCGCAGCCTGCACTGGCCCCTGCCTTTCTCCTTGGATCTGCAAGGCCAAGGCAGGTGGTTGCCCTCCCCATCTCCTTCCATCCCTACGCTCTAAAATTTACAGCGCCGAAAAACCCCACTGGCCCTTGAGGAGTCTGTGTCTTGGAGAGGGAGCAGACTAGCCACCGTCAGAACCCCAGGCTTCATCTCCTCACCTGTAGCCGGACTTTAGCAGTATCCAGGGGAAAGGTGATGAGATCTGCAATGCAGGCAGCTGTGCCAGCCCCCAGGAACTTCACAGTGGCAGTAGGGGGCACATCTGTGGCCTTGAACCCAACCATAATGCCAATTCCTGCTACCTCCCAGGAGATGAAGAAAAAAGAAGGGGGCACCTTCAATCAGCAACAAGACGAGACAGAGGAACTCTGCTGGAATCTAAGCCAAGGAGAGAGAAGGTCCATCAGAAGCCGAAGCTCCAGACCCCCCCTTCTCACTACCCCACCCCACTTTCCCTGATAGCACCACCTCCCTAAGCAAGGACCCAGAGCTGCCCCTGGAGGGCAAATAGGAGTGAGCTCCACAGGCACTCAAGCAGGGGCTGGAGAAGCAATTCATTCCTGAGAAGTCCTCCCTTTTACCACAGGGAGTGTCTGGATCACAGCTATCCTAGTGCTACCTCACAGGCACTGGCCCAGCCCTGTGTCTGCTGGGTGCAGAAATTTCACTGAAGCCCACATTCCTGATGCTGCAGATCTGTTTAAAGGGCAGACAGAAGTGGGGAAAAGGTTTCAGCTAGACCAAGACCTGACAGGCACAAACCCACAGGCTTATGCCCTGGATGTCTTAAGCAGGAGAGGTTCCTATGGGTCTTGAACTAAGTCTAGAAGAAAAGGAGTGAACAAGACCTATTCAGCTCCTTCAATTCAGTCTAATTCTCTTCCCCACCAGCCCGCACACAGCTTGGGCTCTCTAGAGGCACTCTTTCAAGGAGTCTGCTTTGCTGGGCACTGGCTCACTGAGGCGCAGGAGACAATATCTACCCTAGAGGGGGGCTTATTGTCTGGCATGGGATGGACAGGTGATTCAAGCTGCATTTGGGGCTTGCAGAACATAGTCTCAAAGTGCAAAGGAGGGAACATCCAACTCCACTGGGAGAGAAGAAAGGGTGGGTAATCAGAAAAGACTTAGAAAAGGTAGTATTTAGCTGGGCCTTGAAGGATACTGAGCAATTCTCAGGGCTGAGAGTAAGTGCATAAGGTGCTCTACCCACCCCCACCCCCACCCCGGGGGGTGGGAAAACTAGTCC